TCAAAAAAAGTGGCTCCATGTTTTTAGAATATTTGGGTTTGCCCAGAAATGAAGCTTAGGCCCTCACTGGCGCAGATCAGACTGACTGGATGGACGACGAGTTTAGACTAGCATTTCAAATAGAGGACACTTAAGCTACTAATATTTTACAGTGTCCCATTTACTGTTAAAATACGCTGAGGAAGCCTCCCCCTCTAATGAGCTTGAGCCCCATGCCACATTCTCAGCCAAACCAGGATAGCTTCCTGCTTATGTATCTTGATAAATGCAGCTGTGCAAAACTATTAGAATCATATAATTGTAGAGCTGGAAGGGACCCTGAGGATCTTCTAATCCAGCAATGCGGGAATCTCAGCTAAAGCATCCATGACAGATGGTCAACCAACCCCTGCTTAAAAAACCTTCAATGAAGGAGAGCCACCGTCTTCATAGGAAGTCCATTCTCTTGTCAAACAGCTTTGAGTTCAAAGAGTTGCTGGACTTTTCCACAGCTCTGGCCACTGACCCATCCACAGGGGTAAAATATAGCCAGCTGCAACACAGCTCTTTGCTACATAGAACTGACTTCATCCACAGCAGTTCCACCAGGCTACATCTGTGGGAAGCAAGGCAGCAATCCCACCACCACCACGTGTGCCTGGAACCAGCTGCAATCTGGCTCCTGCCCCTCCTAGACCTGTATCATGCCATGTCTGGGGCTGACGGGGAGTTTTAGTCCAAAACACCTGGACAGAAGCAGGTTGGATAAAGATGACTCCCCTAAAGACTCAAGCAGGGCAGCACAACAATAATGTTCCACCAACTGGCTAAAACATTCAAGGAAGCACTCCTGTGCAGTATTTTTAGTACCAGTTCCACTGAAAATTCTGGACATCTCTAGCATTTGTGCTTCTTTGTTTTTTACTGGTTTATTGCACTAATTTTATCCTATTAACTGTCTTGCTATTTTATAATGTAAGTCTGGCTACAAATCTTTGAATAAATAGAATTAAGCAGAGCAAATGGGGTAAGTTGACAAAAAGTAACAGGCATGAGCAAAAGCCCTGCAAGTTTAAGGCCAGCAGTGAACTGAAGAGTAACAGATTCTGTCTCCCACCTCCCTCCCTCTGCAAAGCCCAGGAATTTAATGTAATCAGAGGCCACTGATATTGCAAAGCTTTCTGCAGCGAACACAGATGATTCAGAAGGGAGTGTTCTTGCCCCAATGGGAAGTAGCGGCAATTGTGCAAGAACCGGAGAGCCCCAAACCTGAAAAGAAATGAGCAGAAATGTTACGGTTAATAGATGGGAGTTGCAAAAAGCCCTGACTAAGGAAGGGTGAAAGGTCTGTAAAGTAGCCAGGAGGAGGGATGTTGCAAGACATTTGTACAAATTAAATGTGAGGCCTGAACTTGTTAATGAAGTGCTTTCCTGGCAAACAACCAAGAAGCAGAGCACTAATGAGGAACAAAGCCTAAAAAAAGTTAATAGGATGAGAGTCCTTGTGTTATTCTGAGAGGCACATCAAGCCAAAAGGAACTGGTGCAGACAATGCCATGAAACTATTTATTGACCACAAGGTCATTTGCCATCAGGAACCTGCGCCTCCACCAACACACACCTCCAAGTCTTGCTGCTTCCATCCTGTACCCCCAACAAAGTGAGACTCATTTCCTCAGCAAACCTTCCAACCATGCTAGCCTGACTTGTGCTCCTCCATCACTAGTTTGAGTCTTCCCATCCCATTCTGGCACTGCCAATACAAGTTCCTCCACATCTCTTTTTCAATCTAGCCTCTGCTCAGTCATCTGCAAAAGGGTCATGCCATTCCTACCATCTGAATGGGATTTAAAATACAGTATTAGCCCAAATCTTTATCTGAACTGGCTTTTCACACCTTCCTGGGCTAACAGGCAGCTATTCACACTAAGCAATTTACTGAAGATCCTTCCAGTGGACTTTTAACAAGCAGTTCTTTCCCCCCACCCCAAATTAACATTCCTCCATTCCCAATAGAATTTACTCACTAAGACTTCTAGAGCCTTAGTCAAGGGACTGGACAGATCAATTGAAAAACACTTTGGTCAACAAACAACATTTGTCAGAGACCATAGATTCCTTCTGGAAGTAAAATTCATTTATTGCATTTATATCCCACCTTTTTTCTCCTAAGAGCTTGAGGTGTCATATATTGTTCTCCCTTTCCCAATTTAATTCCCACAACAAGTCTGTAAGGTCGGTTAAGCCGAGAGGCAGTGACTGGCCCAAGGTCACGGCTTCATGGCTGTGGAGATTTGAACCCTGGTCTCTCCCAGGTCCTGGTCTGACACTCTAACCACTACAGCACACTGGCTCTTGGTGTGAATAAAATGAATTAAAACGAATTATTTTAAAATGAATAAAGAAGACTACCACATTTATCAAGGGGATGACCAAAATAAGACAAAATGTTTTAATTATAATGGTCTCATTCAGGACACACAGCTGTTTTTTATGCAACTTTTCTCCTTGCGGAGAGACACAATCAAGTAATAGCAGAGACTGCAAAATTCCCAGCAGCTGCTATTTAAAATAAGGAGCATCTCTTAAAATAAGTGCTCTCTGAATCTTACCTTTGTATAATTCTTAATCTGAAAGCGTTACCCGCTCAGTTGTGTTTGCATATGCCAAATGCATTTTGCATAAAAGCTGCAATGACTGCAAGATTCAGCAAATAAATGCCTATTAAGACAAAATACATCAGCTGCATATGCAGATTAATGGATTACACCTCCACTCAACATTAGGAAGTTTCTCTCTCATCTGCAAGTGTATGTGACTGAATGAATTAACCAACCCAAAGGGGAAAGATGAAGTCAGCTATAACCTCCAACACCGAGCCAGTGTGGTGTTAAAGACCTGGGGGAGTCCGGTCCCTGCAGGAAGCTCTCCGGGTGACCTTGAGGGCCTCCACTGCCTCCAAGCCTAACCTACCTCACAGGGTTGTTTTGAGGATGAAATGGAGAGGGAGGAGAACCATATGCACCACCTCGAGCTCCTTGGATTAAAATGCAGCAGAGTAATAATAAAAATAATCAAGTGGGCAACAGCCGACCTGCCCCCGTAACCACGCGGGGTGCAGCGCCACCAAAACCTGGCTGCCTTGCACAGCGCCGAGCACAGAACACCCCAGACGCATGCGCACTATCTCATTCAAGCAGGCCCAAGCCACGGCTACTCGCTGCCGCCGCTGCCTCGTCCCACGTCAGGTAACCCTCGCGGGCCCCCGTCGCCTCCCCGCTTCAACTACCTGGGAGGAGGTGGCGAACCCTCTGCGGAGCGCGGTGGAGGCGGGCCGGGTAAGGCGGGAGAACATGGTCGTCGGCTGCGAACGGCGTGGGAAGAGTCGGCGGCTTCTTTCTCCTTCGGGAACGACCTCCAGGCAGCGAGGGCACCGCGAGACTTCGTTGTCGTTGTCTCGCGAGAGCTCGGTCTCTTGCCGCTTTGGGCTTTCCGTTTCCACGCTCGCCGCGCCCACCCGGTTTAAGCCCCTCTCGCGTTTTCTCGCGATGTTTTGGCACACTGCCTCGCAAGCTATGTAACTATCTGGGAATTTGATTCATTTACAGTATATATATATATATATATATATATATTTTAAAAAAAACATTTTTACACATTTTATATATGTGTTAATATAGTAATCAAAAATACATTTTGGCGGTGATGGAAGAATCTTACACACATCCACACACACACCTACCTACAGTGAGTTGCAAACAGAGTAAATCCATTTAAATTAATGGATTTAAATGTGGATGCAATTCTAATCCCATTTTCATGGAAGTAACGCCCCACTGAATTCAATGGGATTCATTTCTGCATATACATTGATTGGGAATGCGCTGTAAAATCACGTCCCTTAATTTGGATAGGTTTAAGTCTGAGTCTGGCGAGCACTGGATACACAAAGGCTTTATTTCAAAGACCTGTAACTTTCAAATTTTCATTTATCCATTTTAAAGAGCGATTGGCCGCCTTTTTAAACGTTAATACTGATTTAAACCCTGGGTGTCATTTACACAAAGACAGAAAACTTCATGTTAATAATAATAACCTGTAAACACTAAAAATTACTTAAATTATTTCGTGAAGTTGCACAGTAGCAGAAAAGGGGGGGAAATAACCCTAATAAAGTACAATTGAAGACTGAGACCTCCTATTATTTTTCCTGTGCAGATACAGCGAAGGGGCATAAAGCCAATATACAGAATACAGATCAGTTCTTGAGAATGTCAATTTATTTATTTTTCCTTAGCCTTTAAACTATCCTGAGAGTAGAGCAATGGGGAAGGGGATGAATGAAGATGAAGCTACTTTTTTAAAAAAAAAATCCTTTTGACATTTTAAACCGATAAAATGTACTTTTGATGTCCTACGAATAGAACAGAGCTAGCTGCACGGGGGAGGGGGTTGCAACTCTCGCGAGAGTCTGTTGCATCTAGGACCCCGTGTCCTATGGGCAGACATTGCGCCAAAGTATCGCGATAATGAGCGAGCGTGAGAAGACCGGCAATGACGTCAGGCCTTGGGTACCGTGAAGTCTCGCTCCACAGCAAGAGCGAGACGATGGGCCTAACGAGAATGAGGGAAGGGCGTGGGGCGGTGAGCCGAGCCGATAACGAAGAGATAGAGCCTGGTGTCCCGCTCGCCCATCGATGGGCTCCTATAGCGCCCGCTGTGAGCCGCGCTATCTGTCTAGCAAGGCAGTTGCTACGAAGGTGGGCGTGGCCTCCGTGACTATGACGTCGCAGCCGCCGACATTGCGGGATGCAAGGTACCATGGTTACCGTGGCAACAGTTGACAAACGCACCATGGCAACGGGAGCCACGGGTGTCATAGCAACGGGAACCTGAGGCCACTCAGGTTGGTGGGCTTCCATCATTCATCATCATGCTGTGATGATTATAATAATTCAGTCATTAATGATAACAATTATTAGTATTATTATTTGTTTTCATGAATTGGATTGATTGATTTTTGAGGAGCATTTCCTTGTTTCGTTTTTAAAATAATTGCACCAGTTTGTGATTCAAGATGGAGTATATATTTCTTATGCAAAGCGACTAAATGGTCACAATCTGCCTGTTGTGGTCTGCTCTCGCCTTATTTTTCAGAAGCATACAGTTAAAATCTTGCTGTTGCAGTGATAACCCATCTTTCCTTAAAGGGTGATTTGCAGGCTTCACCCCATTGCACCCTTGCATCACTCCTGCAGTGGAGAGGTCCAATGGGCATGATTATTTTATTTTTTTCGTTGCATTTGTATCACAGTTTTTTCTCTCCAAACTGCTCAAATTGGCATACATAGTTTCTTCTCCCCATTTTATCTTCACAACAATGATGTGAGCTGGGTTAGGCTGTGTGGGGAGGTGACTGGCCCAAGGTCACCCAGTGAGCTTCATGGCTGATTGAGGATTTGAACCCTGGTACTGCAAGTTCTAGGCTGACACTCTAATCGCTACACTACACTGACTCGATTGATTTCAGTGAGTATATTCTTAACTAGATACAACCATGAACCTCCAGAGATGGAGAGCGAATCTCTATTTTTTCTTTTGCAAACTGCAGGGGCAGCACAAAGCATCACCCTCTCCTGCAGTTTCCAACAACTGGTATTCAGAAGCGTTACCACCTCTGACTGTGGAGGCAGAACATAGGCATCGTGGCTAGCAGCCATTGATAGTCTACTCCATGAATTGGTTCAATCCTTTTTTAAAGCCATCCAAGTTGGGGGCCATCACTGCTTCCTGTGGAAATGAGTGCCAGAGTTTAACTAGGAACTGCATGTCTCTATATGCATCTATATTATTTATTTTATATTGTTGTTGGCATCCCTCTGTCTTCAGTGACAATGGAGGATAAGATGCTGGACTAGATGAGCCATTGTCATGATCCAGCAGGCTCTTCTTATGTTTTTAATTCATTAAAGGTGGTGTGATTTTTATAACTAGATGGAAGCCCTGGTTAACAATCCACATTTTCCCTTTGCTTTTTCAGTCAAACAGTATCCAGATACCCAGATTCCTGCACAGAACAAACTACCTGAAGAGGCCTTTTCTGTTTGTGGATGAACTACCTGAATGTGAAGTAGCCTACTTACAGGAGTTCAGTTTTTTTAGAATACAGTTGTGTCCTCAGTGTTGAATCATTCTTGTCTAGCATCATGGCTGGGGTGGCATTGTGTGAACCAACAGAACTGTATAATATGTTGAACCAGTCCACAAAAATCTCTAGACTAGCAGAACCAAACTATCTCTGTTTAATGGGTAAGTTATGTTCTTTCGTACTGACTGACTACGTTTTCTATTTCTGTTCATTGAACATTTATGTGACTTCTGCTATTTGTGACTCTGATATATTTTCTGTCTATGTATTTTGTATAAATACTTATTAGCACATTATTAGCTGCGTGATGCTTGTGGTTGTTCAGAGTTTACCTCTCCCATTGGCATCAGTTGGACTTCCTGTCACATCATCATTAATGACCCTATAGCTTGCAAATGACATTGTACGTACACTTAATCCTTATAGCAAGGTATCATTAATAACAAGCCCATTGACCTGCGCCTGTTTCCTCAGCTGCAAAATTGAGTATTTTTCACCCTGCAAAAGCATGTCAAGGGTTTCTTGACTTCTTCCTGTTTCCAAATGGTGAGAAATGAAATTGCTTAAACAATTGAAGGCTGCCCTGAGGCCCAGGAATGCATTCTCACTGTCCGGTGCATGCCTCCTTGATTTTCACTTTTGTGACTCTGCTGCTACTTCCATCAGGCCTCTGCTGGCATTGGGTGTAAGAATATAAGGAGGGCTTCACTGGATTAGATGCAAGTTCCATCTAGTCTGCAGTGGCCAAAAAGATTGACCTGCCATAGAATGTGGAGGTGCTACATAGCCATCAAAACCACCAGCCTTGTAAAGGCTTGAACCCCATATTCTATGGGGCTTTGTCATTCTGCTGCCTGTGCATCAGGTGTCCCTTCCAATTGCAGACCTGCAACAGGATTACTTGCCCCAGGTAAGGCCAGAGCAGTGACTCAGGCAGAAACACAGGGCAAGGGGGAATTCTTACCCTTTCACAGAAGTAAATCACATTGTTTTAAAGATAAACAGTTCATGTAGAGTAGAAATGAAGAGAATGCAGAAGCGTTTGGAAAAAATAGCAAAGGCGGAATCAAATTTCTCACTGTTTTCAGTTCAGTCATTTGCTTTCCTCGTGTCTTTCTTTTCCACCCTGTTGCATTGCTTTCAGATGCTCGTACGAGGAGGGAGTACAATGAAAGCCACTTGATGACAGCGATACGAGTCAGAAAGGCAAGTAACATTTTGGGGTGTCTTGCTTGTTTGTTTGCAGCCACCTCCTGTTGTTGGACAGACCCTAGGTGAAGCATTAGATTCTCCCCTGCCGGAGCCCTTTCACTGTGGGGCAAAGGTTGGCGGAAGCAATTAAACCATTAAAATAAAATAAAGCCATGTTATATATGTTGGTGCAATAGGTCATTGGATTCTGAGATCCAAATTTCTTTTTGGTGAGAGAACCCCTGCAGAGATTTAACATCACAAAATATGTAGTAAAGTATGAAAATGCAGACTGTAAAACCTTTAAAATATGCTCTTTCAAGTGAGTTCCAAAATGTCCCCTGAAAATATTTTTTCCCAAAGGTTCCCTCTTCCCCCAGCATAAGAAATGACCGCAAATGGTTTATGTTCATGTGCTTCAGAGAAGTTGCACAGGCAGTAAAACTTAGGTTAGTTACAAAGTTGTCAAAGTTCCTAGATTATTAGTATATGAACTCAAGAATGACTGGTGAGAGCCATGCGCTTGAGCTGGAGCAACCAGCTCAAACCTCTTCACACACTGAGCTTCCCAGATGAACTAGAGGCGAACAAAGGCTTGACTACCTAATTTCTCCCAAGGTGAAGGGAATGGACATAGCTAAGTCTGGTAGAACATCTTGCTGCATGGCATTATTCCCTTCATGCATTAATTGGACTTAAGCATGTTGGTTATAAGAGGCTGGTTATTTCACAATACAAGTAGCACATTAAAAATCCAACTAAAGCTATAATCATCGGCACAGTGGGACTTAATTATGAGTAAATATGCATCCGATTGTGCTGTTTCACTGTACCATGAGACTTGCCTGGCGTTCACATCAATATCTGTTCAGTGCCAGGTTAAGACATGCCTCAGAGCTAACTCCCAGAGGCCACATGCCAGCAGGAAACGGAACCAGAGAGGAAAGTGGGTGGAGATGTAAATTTTACCTTTATGCAATCAGTTTGACTCTCGTGTGCTGCCCCTCCATTCTCCAACCAAGCAAGCAATAAGCATTGTCAAGATTCCCGCCAGGCAAAAACACTCAAGGAGAGTACAAAGTAGGGCCGGTGTGGGGCATGGCCTGGGGAATAGAGAGGAGGAGTTTTAGCCTGTGGAGAGTCCCAAGGGCCAATTAGAAAAGTCTAGAGACCACATTTCGCCCCCAATTCTGAGATTCCTTCTCCTCACATACCTCTTTTACCAGGCTTTTGAGACAATCGGGTGTAATGCATTATTTGTTTAAGGCGGGGGACGGATATTTGTTTTAGTGTTAAACTTGCTGGCTGTTTTCTTTAATTATTTATGTAAAGTTCGTTGCTGAGAGACTTTTGGAGCAGGCGACATAAATTGAACAAAGAATGCTAATGGTAACAAAACAACAGAAAGGTAATTGAAAGGGTCTCTGTGCCTACAGTTCCATTGATGCGAAAGGTACAAGATTTGACCTGGGCCTAAGAGGTAACAGGGCTCCAAGCACACACGTCTTTCAGAATGCAAGTATCTTTCATGCAACACAGTAAGAAGTATATTCCTTTTCACAGTCATTAATCCAGCCCCCCACCTTTCTTTCTTTCTAAAGAATGCATTGGGCAAATTCATAGTTCCTCCGTCCGTCAATCTGGAGTGCGTCCGATACTGCGTGGTATACGATGGCAAATCTACCTCGGTGGATGCTGCTTACGACATAGATTATGATTTGTATGAAGTGGATAAAGAACTAACCCGTAAGTCTTCCTCTTTCTGCTGCAGGTTGCGCAGCCTTGCTGTTTTGATCTCATAATCCTAGCTCACGCAAGAGCGAAGCTTAAAAAGGGCTGGGACACATCTTGAAGTAAAAGCTCTTAATAATCTGTTACAAATTTTCTCATCTTTTTTCTCCTCCACCCAGCATATGACATGGGAGAGGACATCAACAAATTAAGAACCAAGCCATCTTCTGAGGAGAGTAAGTTCTATCTGTAATCACGATGGTGGCAGTCTAGAGGTTGTTAAGACAAGCCAGGGAAGGGAGCTACGAGTAAAACAGGCAGACACTATGCCGAGCCAAAGGGTCTGGTTTTGAAGTGTCCTCCTCACTGCACTTGGTGTGAACAAAACACATTATTGAGATTTGAGGGCAAAAGAAAGTGGCTCTGCAGGTTTTGATCAAAAAGCCCCCTGTGGATGTCAGCATGGATGGGCAGTTAGTTAGTTGGCAGAGCACCTGATTTGGATGCAGAAGGTCCCAGGTTCAGTTCCAGGCATATCCAGGGTGGGGCTGGGGAAAGACTCCTGCCTGAACTCCTGGCGAGCCACTGCTGGTCATGGTAGACCAGGATTTCCCAAACTTAGCTCTTCAGCTGCTTTTGGACTACAGTGGTACCTTGGTTCTGAAATACCTTGGTACTCAAATGCCTTGGCTCCCAAACACCAAAAACAGGGAAGTAAGTGTTCTGGTTTTCAAGCGTTTTCAGAAGCCGAAAGTCCAATGCGGCTGTCGACTATTGTTTCGGGGAGCCTGCACCAATCAGAAGCTGTGTCAAACAGATTTCTGGAATGGATTAAGTCTGGCACTTTTGTTTTTGCTGTTTATTTTGCGTTTTTGCTTTTGAGGCTTTTTTGGTTAAAAAAGCACACAGTTTTTGTCACTGTGTGGAACCTAGTTCAGCAACAGATGGATTGATTGATTGATTGATTGATTGATTGTGTGACTGTGGAAATGGATAAAAGCCCCCCATCCAAACAATGACTATCAGTGCATGTAAGATTTTTTTAAAAAAAAATCATCTACAATACTGTCTTAATTATTTTATAGTATAGGACATTGATTATTGCTTTCATTTTATGGATCAATGGTCTCGTTAGATAGTAAAATTCATGTTAAATTGCTGTTTTTGGGGTTGCTTTTAAAAGTCTGGAATGGATTAATCCATTTTTCATTACTTTCTATGGGAAAGAATGCCTTGGTTTTGGAACAGACTTCTGGAACGGATTAAGTTTGAGAACCGAGGTACCACTATACAGTTCCCATCATGACTGACAGTTGGTCCTGCTAGCTAGGGATGATGGGAGTTGTAGTGCAACAACAGCTGGAGACCCAAGTTTGGGAAACCGTGGTGTAGGCAGTACTCAGCTAGGTTGACACAGCTTCCTATGTCTCTATGTGATATCGCCAGACACACTACAACACTCCAGGGGAGGGAGTATATGGGAAGAGGCATGCCTTCAGAGGCAGGTGGTCTTGAACTGTGGGAGGAAAAGGTAACAGAGATTGTCATCCGATTGTTTTGAACGGTGGGCTAAAAAGTAATGGGAGAAATGCAATAGATAGCAAATCCAATGGTTTCGCTGGTGACAAGGCCAGAAGCGGGTGCCTCTGGAGTGCTTTTCTTTTTAAACACATGCCTCTCACAATTTATCTAGATGCCCCAGTGGGATCCGCACCTCGCTGTGCCAGGATTATGCAGCGGTTCACCAGTTACCCAGTCCTTGTCCTGAGGGGCGGGTACGAATTGTTCACAGCGACTTACCATTACCTGCGGACCCAGAAGATATTCTGGATGCCTCAGGTGAGAGGGAGACTTCAGAGAGCAGGCTTTCAACTTCTTAATGAGGTTGTTGCGATCTCCTAGTCAGGTTGGGCTGCTGCTCTCAGCGTGCATATTTTTGGCAGGGTATGGGGTGTTGGCGTACCTTGGGTGCATGCCCCCTTTTGATTGGACCTTCAGACTAGGGTGGGGGGCCACATTCCTTAAAGCGCAACCTTCCCGGGGCCACGTGGCGGTGGGCAGGTCCAGAGGCAAGAGTGGGCAGACCAGTGAATGTATGGTTTACCTTTGTGCAGAAGGCTGGTTTCTACAAAGGCTCACTCCCCCTCTACTCTCCAGTCATCAGAGTACCCTCCAGTGTTATCAGAGCTCAGGGATTCCTTCCATCTGGGCCAAAACACCCAGGTGTGAAGCTCCACCAATGAGGATGGCCTGGGGAGAGTTCCAAGTGCCAAATAGACTAGCTGTCAGCAGCAGGTCAGCAACGAAACACCAGTGTCAGTGAAGTTAACTCTTTATTCAAATAAACCCAAACAGCACAGGCCTAGGGGTCCCAGCAACTCTTCACAGTAGGTCTTGCCCTAATGAGGCAGTTGCAAGGACTAAAGGACCTGTGCTTTCCACTGCTCCTCCTGGTCCATCCCAAGCAACCTGAGGCTCCTTCATCATGTCTCTCTTTGCTTCACCCTCTTCATTCCTCTTGTGTTATGGGAGACCAGGGGAGAGAGGAGGTTGTTGCAGGAGGGGGGGGCTCTCTGGATTTTTCAGCAGCCTACTTCATCTCTGTCTCCTGGCTCCCCCTCCTCTCCTGCCCCTGATTCTGGAGTGCTCTCTTCCCCAGCCCTTTCCTGCTCACTAAACTCTGTTGCCCCAAATAATCCTGGGAGCTGTAGTATGTTGAGGGTGCTAAGAGTTGTTCAGAGGCCCCTGTTCCCCTCACAGAGCTAAAATTCTCAGAGGGAAGCTTGTTAAACCACTCTAAGATACTTTCAGGATCAACCCTTTTATTGTAGATATAATATGTTTTAACTGTTTTTAAATCTGAGCATGCCATGGTCCTGCTGGTGATGGGCAAGTCATAAATACGATGCTGCTGCTGCTGCTGCTGCTGCTGCTGCTGCTGCTGATGATGATGATGATGATGATCTTTCCTTCCCCTAAAGGAGCTAGAGGCCTTTAAGCCCTACCCAGTGGAGATCCTGCCTGCTCGCTTGTACATGGGAAATTACGCTCAGGCCTGCGACAGCCAAATACAGAAGGATCTGAAAATCAAAGCCCATCTCAATGTCTGCGAAGAAGCTGGCACATTGTAAGTTCCAGTGACAACCAGCTGAGCACTAGTTGGCTGTCAGTTCTTTTCCAGGCTTGCAAGGAAGGCCACAAAAGTTACGAGCCCATAAATAATCTTTAGGCCAGAGTTGTGTTTAAAGGTTAAAGCAGTGGTTCCCAAACTTTTTTGGGTCTCCACCCCCTTGGTCTCCAAAACTCATCCCCATTGCTCACTACCCTTAAAAAAGTATTGCAGCGGTTTGCACAACCCACGAAGGAATATAATAAGACAATACAATTCAAAACAGTAATAATTCATTACATATTTATTCAAAATCCAATTAATTTTTGCTTAATTCAACAAAATGGATGAACTTGCCTATGGAGAGGACTAATTAATCAGTGAACCTATTAGGCATGTACCTTAATGTTATACTTTTGGCAGTGCTTTCTTTCTAAAAAATGTTTAGGGGTGCTCTCATTTTCCTACTCATATTGAAATACTACCCCTCAATGAGGCCAAACTTAGATTCATGAAATGTTTAGAGGTAAACGTACCCCTGCGTCCCCCCAGAAAAAAGCACTGTGTTTTGTAACTGAGAATCCAATAGCATGTACTACTGAAAAAGGGCAAACTTGATCCAGTGGTGCCAGCTTTTCAAAGCCTGATAGTCATCCGTACCTCCAGCGCCCTCCTGCTGCCCCCTTGCCTAATGAGGATGATAATTTATTATATCTATGCTGCCCATCTGATTGGGTTGTCCCAGCCACTCTGGGCAGCTTCCAGCAAATTATAAAACCACAGTAAAACATCAAACATTAAAAACTTCCCTATGCAGAGTTGCCTTCAGATTTCTTCTGAAAGTCAAATCGTTGTTTATCTGTTTGACATCGTCTGGGAGGGCATTCCACAGGGTGGGCACGACTACTGAGAAGGCCCTCTGCTTGGTTCCCTGTAACCATACTTTGCGCAAAGAGGGAACTGCCGGAAGGCCCTTGGAGGAGGACCTCAGTGTCTGGGCTGAACTGAGCAGGTGGAGACACTGCCTCTTAGTGCCCCCTCCCAGAATCTCACTGTCCCTTGGGATACCACCCGTTTTGGGAGCCGCTGGGTTAGAGTGTTGGGCTGGGATCAAAGGGATCCCAGTTCAAAGCCCCATTCATCCATGAACCTCTTGGGGCTTGTCATTAACAACACTGTCTTTGGTGTCTGATTGTGGGCCCTTGTTCCCCGCCTTTATTTGTTGCCTTTTTATCCCCTCCCCTTCCTCCAGGGAGCTAACCTTCACAGAGTTTGCTCCACCCCACGAGGTAGGGTATGGTGAGAGAGAATGACTGGCTCAATGCCAACCTTTGGGTTTCAAGGTGGGCTGGGGACTTGAACTAAACACTGGAATCTTTGACATTCCAGATGGTGCTGGACTTCCAGCTCCCATCATTTCTGGCCATCGGGCAAATAGGTTGGTGACTATACCTGCATCATTTGCCATTTTTTGCTGGGCTGGTAGAGGTTTTTTTTGCAAGTGTCCCAGCAGGTCTTCTCTTTGCTGTTCCCCAGTTTCCTTGAAGACAGTGACAGACTGCTTCATATCCCCATTCCGGATTCTCCAGATGCAGATATGTTTTCTTACTTTCCCAAGATTTGCCACTTCATTGGTGAGTAGACCAAGGTAGCTTCTCCACTTACTCCATGCCCTAAACATGGGGAAACGCCAAGGAGGGGCACCAAGCTCTTCAACTGGTAGGACAGGGGTGGGGAGCCATTTCATCACTATTATACCCTTGCAGGCCAACTTTAACAGGAGGGTTGGGACAACTCACCTATCAGATGCCCAATTGATAGCTGGATTATCCCACTCGCTTTGTCAAAATCCCTTGTGTAGCGTGTCCCAAGAACCCAGAACCCAGCTCATAATTGGACACTCAGAAAGCAGAAGCCAAAGGAGTTTTGCCAGTCCTATGCTTTCTGCAGAATCACCTGTCTGCTTGAGTTCCCCATGGGGAGCTTGGTCACGCAGTTCATCCAGCTGTGTCTCTACCTCCCACCCCCCATCTCATGCACATATGATATCAGGCTGCAGGGCAGGTGTGGGGTTTTTTTTTTTTTTTGGGGGGGGGGGAGGAACAGCCTTCCAGGCCAAATTAAGACCCATGCCAAGCTAAATCTGGCCTGCAGGCCAGAACTTCCCAAGCCTTGTAGAAAAATCTTATACACTTGACTTCCTGGTTGAGGAAATATTAAAAATATTTATTAAATTTATTAGTTGCTTGTCACCCAAATGATCTCCAAGAGACTTATATTAAATATATATGCCTTATATAGAAAAGTCAGTGTTGGTGGGGAATTAAATTTCCATATTGGGGAAACAAAAAACAACAACCCCACCAGTTCCTTCCCACTATAACAGTAACAAAAAAATTAGCAGTATAGTACACCAACAATAAACCGAACAATATCCCCACCCACCAACAGATAAACATAAAAATTCAACATACCAATACTCCTCTCCCCAGTCCAAAAATATACCCATCAACCCAGAATTTTCTTTTTTAATCTCCCCAGCTCACCATGAAGTCCAGTGTCAAAGTCAGTGAGGGTTTATGTGGCTCAGAGAGTTATACATAAGCCACTGCCAGTCTGGTGCCAACCAGATGCAGTGTGTGCTACATTTCCCAACAGCCTGAGACCAAATTCCAGCTACGCAAAAGCCTGAGATTTTTCTACATACAAGCACACACACACTTTTTCATCAGCACAAGCACGAGGGATTATCACAGTTCAAGGACACACTGCAGCCAGGCAGGTGCACTTGAGGAAGTGGGGGGGACCACAGTCATTTAGCAACCCAGTGGTGCGCTTGCCCCTTTGAAGCCGACTTGACAGCAGACTGGCACTGAAGATTCCTTCCACCCTGATGATGAGGCAATGTCTTCCACCACAGCTGTGAGCAGTGGGCCATCTTAGAGGCTGCTGTCTCCCAGAATCTCCTGACTAAGGTGGATGCTTCATTCTACCTAATGGTAGGGCTGCCCGCATTTAGCCAGCAAGCCTTACCCAAACCCTACAGCCTCTCCTGGTCACTTTCACCAACTCGATGTCCACAGTGAAAGCTGAAAAGAGCCTTTTGCTTAGAATGTTCAATTACCACTCGGGCATTTATTTTTCTTCCTCTTCTCTAGACAGTCACATCCACAAGGAGAGAGTCCTGGTTTTCTCCACCATGGGCATAAGCAGGTGCAGCACAGCCGTCATGGCCTACCTCATGCATTCCTGCAGGCTTTACTTAAAGGTAAGTGGAGGCAGGAGGGGGGCAGGCAGGATTGTTTCCTTACAATCCATATATCCTGCTTTTTAATCCTCCTTGGGGTGCTCATTTGTGGCTGCCAAAATCCAGAAGCACGACAGAAAATGACGTTGCCCTCGTTGTTTGTAAAGCTCCATGTACTTAGCAAAGGCAGATATAAATAATCACAACAGTAGTGCCTGCTTTGCACAAAGAATGTCACCAGATAAGGCTGGAAAGAAAGACCAAGTTATTTGGGAAGGGGAAGGGGAAGGGGAAGGGGAAGGGGAAGAAGAAGGGGAAGAAGAAGAAGAAGAAGAAGAAGAAGAAGAAGAAGAAGAAGAAGAAGAAGAAGAAGAAGAAGAAGAAGTTATTATTTGTACCCCGCTCACTCTGGGTACAAAGACCAAAAATACAGTAAATAAAAACTTCCCTGAGCAGGGCTGCCTTCAGATGTCTTCTGAATGTCAGGTAGTTGTTTATCGTTTTGACATCTGATGGGAGGGCGTTCCACAGGGCGGGCGCCACTACCGAAAAGGCCCTCTGCCTGGTTCCCTGTAGCTTTGCTTCTCGCAATGAGGGAACTGCCAGAAGGCCCTCGGCGCTGGACCTCAGCATCCGGGCAGAACGATGGGAGTGGAGACGCTCCTTCAGGTATACTGGGCCGAGGCCGTTTAGGGCTTTAAAGCTCAACACCAATACTTTGAATTGTGCTTGGAAACGTACTGGGAGCCAATGTAGGTCTTTCAAGACTGGTATGTGGTCTCGGCAGTTGCCCCCAGTCACCAGTCTAGCTGCCGCATTCTGGATTAGTTGTAGTTTCCGGGTCACCTTCAAAGGTAACCCCATGTAGAGTGCATTGCAGTAGTCCAAGCAATGTCTTTCCCATCACCAGACTCTTGAGCTGGAGATTAGTTACCTGGCCAAGATGCTAGGGAGGGGGTGGAGTGTCCAGATCCCTCCTCTGCCTGTTGTTAGAAGACAGATTCCTTCCCACTCTCCCTGCTACTTCTGCTACTTCTGCTGTTTGCTTGCTTTTTTTGTAGAAGTCCTGGAGCTACGTTCAGAAGTGCAAAATCAACATGCGGCCCAATCGAGGGTTCGTGCGACAGCTGTCAGAATGGGAGACACGCATCTACCTGAGTGACATCACCGATATCTCCGAACCGAATTACTGACCAAGAGCGAGTGACAGAGAAAGTCCCTGAATCACTGCTGGCTTCCTGCAGTGGAATTTCAACGGCTTTTGAGTGGTGGTGATTCAGATAGAACTCTATATTTTTGGAAGTTTATTTTTTAAAAAAACAATAATAATAATAAAAAAAATAATTTTTCACTATCATTACCTCTGTACTGCCAGGTTTATGACATATCTCACAGGTTCTCTTTACTCCTGTGTACAGAGCTGAGTGGCGTTAGGACCTTTTGTGTCCTTTATTCAGAAATAAATACCTTCCGCCTCTGTGTATCTGGAACTTGTCTATCAAGATCATCAAGAACTTGCACCGAGGAGCTTTCTGGCCTGTCTTTATTTGTTTATGAACTTGAACAATTTCTGTCCCGCCTCTCAGCAAAAGCTTTTCAAAAGGCACCAAACAATAAAAGAGAAAAATGCAAGTATTAGCATGGAAAACAACAATAATGGGATATTAAAAACTGCAGAAAATTAAAAGGTTGTAAAAGCACAGCCAGGAATGATAAGAAATCACTGCCCTGTGGAAACCTGGGAAGAATTAGGCCAGCAGGCAAGTAAAGTAGACGATAACAGAGTATCTCTACAGAGAGCATCCCACAGCCAGGATACTGCCACCATCACTGAAGATTTCTTGTCTCCAGCCATGGTACAAGGGAAAGCACGACCCTATGCTTAATGGCAATATCACACCAAATAATCCAACACATTTGAGAAGGGCATTGGATGTCAGTCAGCCCACCTGAGAGGTGCCAGAACTGAGTTCTGGCTGAAAGTCAGTTAAAACAATTTATATTCAGAAGAAAAGCTTGTATCCAGAGAGAGAGAGCTCAGTTGTCAAGGGCCAGGATAATAATTAAGTGTGTCAGCATATGATGGAACTTATACAGTCGTGCCCTAGTTCCTGAACGCCTTGGTACTCCTATGTTTCGGCTCCAGAACGATCAAAACCCGGGAGTGAGTGTTCTGGTTTTTGAACATTTTTCGGAAGCTGAATGTCCATTGTGGCTTCCGCTATTGTTTCTGGCGCGCTTGCACCAATTGGAAGCCGTGCCTTGGTTTCCAAATGTTTTGGAAGTCGAACGGACTTTCAGAACGCATTCTGTTTGGGAACCAAGGTACCACTGTATACTCATCCTAGAGCAGGAATGGAGAGCCTTTGGCCCTCCAGATATTGCTGAGCTACAACTATCGGGCAACTCATTTTGTGGGTGGGTGGAGAAATGGGAGACAGGTTATTCTATGTAACAAACCTTTTCCAACCTAGCGACTTCCAGATGTTTTGAGCTGAGACTCCCATCACCCTTCCCCAAGAATCCAAGTTGATGGCGTTCACTGTCTCTTGCGGGAAGGAGTTCCGCAATTTAACAATGCAACTGTGTTAAGAAGGACTTTCTTTCATCTCTCCTGAATCTTCCAACAGAAGCCCTGAAATGGCTATTCATGCTTGCATACACTTCCCTGGGGAAGGCTGTACAACAATTTTATTTTCCTATAAATATGCATACATCTGCATCATGTATGCCTGAATTAATACAATATGATGCATGGCAAAGTCTCTCCTTGATCATGCTTCTAGGACAAAAGGAAGCGCCAGAATCCCATAAGCCCCGCCTACTCCCTCGCCCCGCCCACAGCTCCTCACCTCTCCGTGCCCTCGCGACGACGGTTGCCCATCGATACGTCCCGCCCCCTACTGCCTAGAGGCGACGTCCATTGGCTGCGCCTACGCAGGGCAAGATGTGGGGCTCCGCCGCGGATTGGCTGGAGCTGTTTTCCGGAAATGCCACTCTCTCTTCGTTCCCTTCTTATTCCTCGGCCCCCCAGCGCCGCTGAGGGGCTTCATTCGCCGCTGTGCTCGCCGCCGCCATGAGCCTGCGGGCCTCGGTCAGCGACTGCCTGCGGGACTGGGAAGAGCTGCAGGACGGCTTCCAGCGCGTGCAGGTGTCGCCCCCCCACCTTCCAGGAGAGGGGAGGGCAGGGCAGGATAGGGGTGGGGAGGTGGCGGGAAGTAACATAATGGGGAGGGGAGTGACGTTACCCGTGCTGCGGGTGAGGTGGCGGGACCTGACCCCCGGGGTGGGGGTGGGGGTAGTGGTTCTAGCTCGGTATAAAAAAGATAGAGGTATTCTGGGCATGTGCAGAGTGCCTTCCCCCTTTCTCTCTGTGTAGCAAGAGTGCCTCTGGGGATGTGCTGAGTGACTTTGTGTGTTGAGTGCCTCTGGGCATGTGCAGAATGCCTCCCGTGTTTTATGTATATCTGTGGGGCGAGAGCTCTTTGGGCGTATGCATAGTCACTGAGTTGACAGAGAGTGCCTCTGGGCATGTCCAGAATGCCCCCCCCTGTGTGTTTATAGCAAAATGTCTATGGGGGGTGCTGAGTGACTGTGTATGATGAGTGCTTCTGGGCATGTACAGAGTGCCTGTCCGGCTTGTGTGAAGAGGAAAGCAGCTTTGAGCATATCTGGACTCCTTTGTCTCACTTGGGACTTTAGAAATAAGCAGAGGTTTGCATCCTGCTTTTCCTCCAATGTCTTTTGCCCACCCCAGTTTTATCTTCACATCTACCCTGAGGTAGAGTGCGCAGAAGAAATGTGTTTGATTGGTCCAGGGAAACCAAGTCAGCTTCATGGCCAAGCGGGTCTCCTGAGTCCTTGTCTGAACCTTCTTAACTACTATGTCCATGTGCACGTGAATGTGAAGAAAGTGCCCTTCCTTCCTTCTTTCTTTCCTCCTTCTGCTGTGTGTGAAAAGTAAGCAGCATTTATGAGCATGTGTGGAGTGCTTTCCTATCCCATCCATAACTTTGAAGAGGAGCACATTCTTGGGCATGTGCAGAGTGCTTTCTAATTCTGCTCCCTCTGTGAGATGGAGTGCTTCTGAGCATGTGCACAGTGCATTCCCTGGCGACACGGTTGAAGCTACCAAGGAGCACATACAGAGTATCCTTCCCCAGTATTAAATAAAAACAGTTGAACAATAGGGCTTTTAATCAGTGGCTACTAGTCCTGATGTTTAAACCTCATTTCTGGTATCAGAAGCAACATGACTCTGAACACAAAATTGCTGGGGGGGGGTCTTGTAAGCTTTTCAGAGGCCTAAGAACCTAAGAAGAGCCTGGCGGCTGGATCAGGCCAATGGCCCACCTAATCCAGCATCCTGGCCAAGCAGTTTTCCCATTGAGAAGCCTGCAAGCAGGAGCTGAGCACAACAGCCCTCTTCTCACTTGTGATTGCCAGCAACCAGCATTTAGAGGCAGGCTGCCTCAGATGGTGGAGGTAAACCATGGTTGTTGTTGTGGCTAGAAGCCACAGATAGCCTTTTCCTTCATGAAAATAGAGAGCCACTGTCAAAAACAAGATGATGGTCTTAATAGGTAGACTGTGCTAGACATATTATCCTAGAATCATAGAGTTGGAATAGACCACAAGGGCCATTGAGTCCAACCCCCTGCCAAGCAGGAAACATCCTAATTATTTAGTTTCATCCCTCTTGGGACCCTTGAAGTAGCCATCCCCTCTTGTAGCTCGGTTGTTTATAATCCATGCACACAATCCTGCCTTACAGTGTCTGCTCAAATGTTTTATACAGCCAAAAAAAAAAAATTACGTCCTGCAGCAAGAACTGGGACAGAATTTGTAAACGATGCTGTACTGTATTGCAACATGATAGCATCTTCTGTGGTTTTTTGGAGATGTACATAAGTTTGCGAAAGAGTGGATCATGCCATTTCTAAGATAGGGCTATCCACCAGCAACTCAGAACATAAGGGCATAGTGGATCTTCTAGATTCCTTCTCTAGAAAGCCAGCAAGAAGGATGTGAGCACAACTGGCATTCAGATACATTACTGCCCCCAGCCATGGAGACAGAGCATAGCCATTGATAGCCTTCTCCAATAATTTGTCCTATCCTTTTTTAGAGCCATCTAAGTTGGTGGCCATCCCTGCCTCCTGTGGGATTGAGTTCCATAGTTTAACCATGTGCTGAGTGAAGGAGGACTTTTTTTTTTACCTGTCCTGAATCTTCCAACATTCAGCTTCATTGGTTGTCCACGAGTTCTAGTGTTATGACAGGGAGAACAACTTTCCTCTGTCCTCTTGCTCCATGTAATGCATAATCATATAAACTTCATGTAGTGTTTAAAAAAAACCTCATTTAAAAACCCTTCAACTTAAAAAAACAACATTTTAGTTCATCCAGCTGGGGCTGATGGGAGTTGTAGTCTGGGTAATACTAGGTCAGGGGAGGCTGCTTTCACGGATCAAAGTATTTCCAGATTGCTAACTGGTTGATCGGCTAAACTTCACAGCCATAATTGATGTTGTTTTGTTTGCATATGTTATCTCATGGCAGCACTGTCAGGTTATTTATACGCTGTGGACATCTGGCTAGTGGCCATCTTTGTGTGCCCTGTGAGTTAATGACTGAGGAGTGTGGCATTAAAGTCATTTTACGTGCTCACCACAGAGATGCAAGTGATCTCTGGATCACCCTGGAATCTGGAATAATTAGGACACACCTTATTAATGATCACACTGAAACTTAAATAATGGCAGAGTTCATTGCTCTGCCTTTCTGATGTATATTTGCCTCAGATGAAAGTTTATTCTTCTCTCTTGCAAAATGCAACAGATTAAGCAATGCCCCCCCTTTTCCTCGAACCAAGAGGCTCAGTTGCGACAACTCCCTTTCCCCCTTCCTATGCATGCAAGAGGAGGCGATTAGAAGCTTCCATTTTGTTCCACTCTCAAGTAGAGGCTTTGTTGCCTTTGGGGACTTTCAGACAGAAAGGGTAGATAGAAAGAAACGTGTTACGTACAACCAACTTTGGATGGGAAAGCAGCAAGCCTGTGTAAATAGATTATAAGTGGGTAATGCAAGCAAACACTATCAAAAATTTCCTGGAAGTAAGCCCATTGCAAATGAGCCCCCTTGTCCTTCTTTTTGGCTCTTTAAGGCAGCCTTTGCCAACCAGGCGCCCTCTCCCCCAACCTTTTGGATTCCAACTGTGCCGTTGTTGGGGTTGGGAGCAGCGGTGCCCAAATCCCAACCTAGGATGTCAGCTTTCAAAGCTGGGCTTGGGGATGCCCTTTGAGGTAGGCTGGAACTGGGACAAGAGCTTCAGCTGGAGGTGCTGCTAGGACAGGTGGC